GATGGACACTAAACAGATTTAAAAATGTCCATTCTATCAGAGGTAGAAATGTTATGAAGAATAAATGATAAAGGGCACAGAGACTGGGGAGAGGGTGGTCAGGGAAGGCCTCTCTGAGAGGGTGACTTGTGAGCAGAAATGCAAAGAAAATAAGGAAGCAGGCCATGCCGGAAACTGGGGAAGGAGGACTTCAGGCAGTAGGAAAGTCATATGCTCAGGCCCACAGCCATTAAGGCATAGAGACTCTCCAGGAAACCACATGTGGTTCATTATGGTAGAGCATAGAGTGTAGCTGGGATGAGCAATAGAAGGGTTGGTCAAGGATGTAGAGTCAATCAGTCTTTAGGGCACTGTATGCCATGTAAAAGAGGTCAGATTTTACACTTCAAGCCATAGGAGCTGGAAAAATATCCTGAGAATAGGTTTGGAGGGTTAGGGGGTTTCTGTTTGAAAAAAGTCAGTCTGGCCAAAATGTAAGAGTGGATAGCAAGGTGCTGAGACTGCTCTCAGGACACGCAGTAGGGCACTACTGTCATAAAGCAAGCAAAATGTCGGGCTGTGGTAGTAGGAATGAAATGAAAGGAAAGAGAGAGATCTAGGTGGCAGAACTAACAGGTTTTGTTAACTGATGTCAGGGTTCAGCAGGGGGAGAGGGTTCTGGGATGCCTCCCAGGTGATTGGTTGAGCATCTAACTGCACAGGAGATGCTGGGACTAACTTAAACCAGCTGGAGCTAGTTGTTGGGACATTTGATGAGTTCAGATCTCTCACCCTAGTCCTGGCCAGAGATTGTCTAAACACAAGAGGGAGCCGGTTGTAAGCAATAACTTCTATTTGTCCAGAGTGTTTGCAGTTGTTACCAGAGTCTGGTTTTTAAGGATATAAGGTATTATCCTCATTTCTAGCTGGGAAACAAAAGCCCAGCGTGGTCAAAGACTTAACCCAAGTCACACAGCATTAAGTGGCAGAGACTGGACTCATGTTCTCACTCTCTTGACCATTATTCTACAACCAACTCTAAATCCAGGTGTTCTAATTCTCTAAGATCTCTATAAGGTTTTAAAAAAAAAACGAGCCATATACTGGTACTACAAAGAAATTAATTTTATATTTAATGATGGTGACCCAGGATTATCCTGTACATCAGGAGTCGGCAAACTGGCCCACAGGCCAAACATGGCCTGATGCCTGTTTTTGAAATTAAATGTTTTATCAGAATACAGCCACACTCATTTATGTACCATCTCTGGCCACTTCTGCACCACAGGGGCAGAGTTGTGTAGTTGAGGCAGAGACCCCGTGACTTGCAAAGTCTAAAATATTTACTATTTGGCCTTTGCAGAAAAAGTTTGCCAATCTCTGGCCTACACGTTTTCTGAATAGTGTATATTTAATACCCAAATTTTGTATGTAAACAAGGTTGCTTCTGCATTAATAGTTCTCATAGTTGAATATTGATCGCTTACTATGAATGGGAACACAGTGCCTTAGATTGTCGTACAGAAAACTCTCACTATATTCTAGGAAGTTAATAATTAAGAGCTCCTGGCTGTGGGCATGTCAGGTCATAGCTGGGTCTCTTCCAGACCTCTTCTTGTCTCTGTATCTGTGTTTCCTCACTGGTAAAATAAAGGCTTTGAACTAGATAATCTCTAACAGCCCCTTCAACAATATTATTTGGTGATCCTTGAAACCCACTATAATCCCTATAGTTTAGAATTAGGAGTTAGAATTCAGTGTGTACATCTTGAGTCCTCTTGATGAAGGGCATTTCCCCTTCTTGCTGTTTGGTTGCCGTCCCGTACTCCTAGATCTGTGGCTGAAATAAGCTTTCATTACAGTCTAGCTTTGTCACAACTTCTGCTTAGAGGTGCTGACTGTCGGGGTGGCCCTCCGTGTATTACTGTGATGTGGATATTTTAAAGTGAATAGAGACTTTCCTTTTTTTTTTTTTCTCTCAAGGAATGAAGCATAATAAACATCTGACTGATGGAGAAAAATATTTTTGAAGTATTTATAGAGCAAATGTAATTGAAAAGCAGATGACAATTTTTAATAAATACAAAACATTAAAATTTGGGAAGAAAACTTTTTTGCATTATGGTATTATTATGTCTTACAATAAAGATTAGAGTATATCTAAAGTTTGTACTGGTAAGCATATTTAGTTTTATGATTTCCATACTTAAAATTCATTTTGTTCATTCAGTAAGTGGTAATGGAATACCTCATCTCGGCCCTGGGGATAAATGGTGATTGATTGAGACAAATTAGATTCTTGTTCTCATAAGCAAGGAAATATCAAATAGGGATAAATGCTGGCAAAAAGTCAAGAGGGTGATGTGCTCAAGGGTAACTTGAAGTATTTAAAATGGATGGTCAGTCTTATTTCACTTAACATAATATCCTCTATGTCCATCCATGTTGTCTCAAGATCTTGTTCTTTTTTATGACTGAGTAATATTCTGTATTCCATGTATATCTTCCTTATCCATTCATCTGTTGATGGACTCTTGGGTTACTTCCATATTTTGGCTATTGTAAATAATGCTGTAGTGAACATAGATGTGCATATATCTTTTTTGAAATAGTGCTTTTTTGTTTTCTTTGGGTAAATATGCAGTAGAGGAATTCCTGGATCATATGGTAACTCTCATTTTGTGAGGAACCTCCATACTATTTTCCACAGTGGTTGCACCAATTTACGTTCCCACCAACAGTGAATAAAGGTTCCTTTTTCTCCACATCCTTGCCAACACTTGTTATATCTTGTCTTTTTTTTTTTTTAAGTTTATTTATTTATTTTTGAGAGAGAGAGAGAGAGGAAAAGAATGAGCAGGGGAGGGGCAGAGGGAGGGAGAGAGAGAATCCCAAGCACGCTCTGCACTGTCAGTGTAGAGCCCAGCATGGGGCTCAAACTCATGAACTGTGATATCGTGACTTGAGCCGAAGTCAAAAGTTAGATGCTTAACTGACAGAGCCACCCAGGTGCCTCCATGTTGTCTTTTTTTTTTTAATTTTTTTTAATGTTTATTTATTTTTGAGAGAGAGAGAGTAAGTGGAGGAGGGGCAGAGAGAGAAGGAGACACAGAATCCAAAGCAGGCTCCAGGCTCTGAGATACCAGCACAGAGCCCGATGTGGGGCTTGAACCCACGAACCGTGAAATCATGACCTGAGCTGAAGTCGGACACCCAAACGACTGAGCAATCCAGGCGCCTCGCCCCCATGTTGTCTTTTTGATACTAGCCATTCTGACAGGTGTGAGGTGATATCTTACTGTAGTTTTGATTTGCATTTCCCTGATAATGAGTGACGTTGAGCATCTTTTCATGTGTCTGTTGGTCATCTGTATATCTTCTTTGGAAAAATTCTATTCAGGTCCTCTGCCCTTTTTTAATTGGATTATGTAGGTGTTTTTTGGTGTTGAGTTGTGAAAGTTCTTTCTATATTTTGGATATTAGCCCCTTTTTGGATGTATCATTTGTAAATCTCTTCTCCCATTCAGTAGGTTGCCTTTTCATTTTATTGATGGTTTCCTTCACTGTGCAAAAGCTTTTTATTTTAATGTATTCCTAGTAGTTTGATTTTGCTTTTGTTTCCCTTGCCTGAGGAGACATATCTAGGAAAATGTTTCTAAGGCTGATGTTAAAGAGATTACTGCCTGTGTTTTCTTCTAGGAGTTTTATGATTTCAGGTCTCACATTTAGGTCTTTAATCCATTTTGAGTTTATTTTTGTGTACGTTGTAAGAAAGTGGTCCAGCTTTGTTCTTTTGCATGTAGCTATTCAGTTTTCCTACTACCATTTATTGAAGAGAACAAATTGGGGTTGGGCAGAATGTGAGGGCAGTGGGAGATGCAGGCTTGCAGTCATGGAATGACTAAGTCACAGGGATAAAAGGCACAGCATAGGGGATATAGTCAGTGGTATCATAATAGCAATGTATGGGGACAGATGGCAGCTACACTTGTGAATATTGCATATTGCATAGAGTTGTCGGCATCACTGTGTTGTACCCCAAAAACTAAAGCATCAACTATACTCCAATAAAAAATAAATAAAATTGAATGATCAGGGACAGCCACTTTTAGGAGGCCTCTCAGCTTAGATTGCACAAGAAGGAGCCAGCCAACGAGAAGACAGGGAGGAGAGCATTCTGGGCAGAGGGTTTTGCTAGTGCAGAGGCCCTAAGATGGGGATGAGCTCAGAGTGTTTCAGGAACAGAAAAAAGGCTGGTGTGGCTACTGACTGAGTGTATAAAGAGAAGATGGCACAATGCAAATGGGAGAAGTTGGCCAGATCATGGAAGGCTTTGTAGGCCAGGGAAAGGAATCTGGGTTTTACTAAGCCATTGAAGGGTTTCCAACGTGTATACACTCAGAAGATCTCTGTTGAGTTAGTGGGTTCAAAGTGGGTGCACTGTCTTGCGTTCTATAGGGAAAGCAAAGGTGACTGAGTGAAGATTCTGCCTTCAAGAAATTACAGCTCAGGAATAACAGAAAACAATAAAGATTCTTGATTACACATTGTGTAGTTTTTTTTTTTTAACACAGGGTAAGGTATCTACATACTAATGGACTAGTAATTTTTAAAAATTTTTTAAAAATTTATTTATTTTGAGAAAAACAGACACAGCACGGGCAGGGGAGGGGCAGGGAGAGAGGGAGAGAGGGAGAGAATTCCAAGCAGGCTTCACGCTACCAGCACAGAGCCTGATGTAGGGGCCTGAACCCACGAAACTGTGAGACCATGACCTGAGCCGAAACCGCGAGTCGGATGCTTAACTGACTGAGCCACCCAGGCATCCCTGGACTAGTAATTTTTAATCATTGCACCTTACCTGTTCCTGGTATAAATCATCTCATGTATGAGCATTGACCATTAAATTAATAATTGTTTGTCCTAGACGCTGAAGATAATTCTAACTTTGAAATGGCAGCATGTCTTTACAATGTAACCGTAACTTTTCTTTTTGGGTTTCTTCTGGGTCCATCCGACAGCGTTTACTGGCCCTTGTTTGTCCTGATATTTCACGCCATCTCTCCCATCCCCCATTTCATTGCCAAAAGAGCAACGTATGACTCTGATGCCACAAGTAGTGCCTGTCGGGAGCTGGCATATTTTTTCACTACTGGAATTGTTGTTTCTGCCTTTGGATTTCCTGTTATTCTTGCCCGTGTGTCTGTGGTAAGTTTTGTTTTCTATTGTTTTGCTCGGTTGTTGCTGAGTTTACTTCAGAACATCAGTTTCACTGCCATTGCTTAGGCTTAATTCTCAAATCCAGATGTGTTTGTAGTTTCTCTTTTCCATTTTAGATCTCCCTATCAGTGCCTTGGCTATGTTTTCAGAATGCTTTCTTTGTCTCTCTCACAACTTTTAGCCGGGGCATGTGATTTCTCGCTCTTTAAACTGTTTTCTGGAATTGTGCTTATCAAATCCTTGCCTCTTAGGGCGATCCACAGAGAATGTAATAGCAATGCTTTTCTGGTTCCAAAATGAACATCACATCAAATTCTTCTGCATATAGGATCGTGAACACAGTTTCCAACTCAATACTATAGACATATTTTAAGGGACACCTACATGGTTACAAGAAGATACAGTGAATAAGATGCCATCTTCATATCCAGTATAATTGTTTTCTTTTTGTCTCCAAAACACACATTGTGGGTATAATTTATTCACTTCTTTCTTTTTTAACGTTCACTGCTTTTCATGCTACTTGCTTTTATTCCCCCTAACTACATACTGTTTCAATTTCATGAAACTCTTATTTGGGGCATTGGATCTTGGGGACATCTGCTATTTGTAAGATACCAGGAATAAGAGCCAGACATTGTCTGTGTCCCAGAGGCACAGAAACTAGCCTGATGGGTAAGTACACTATGAATGTATTATGTGTGATAATTGAAACATGATCACACCACCATAGGAGCACCAGGAAGAGAGAAATTCCAACTGGCATTTGATGTAGGCCTCAAAGGCTAAATAAGGTTTTGATTCAAGTAGGGAAGGCTGTTCTATGGAATGGCACCCAAGTGTGAAAATGCAATATGTGGAATAAATAGCAGTTCAATATGGCGGAGTCAAAAGGACGTGATTGAGAAGGAGGCTAGAAAGGTTGGGGAAGCCCACTTGCGCAGGCTCTTGAATGCTATGCCAGTTTGAACTCTATTTAGATGAGAAGCATTGGAGCTTTTTGAATGCAAAATCTTCAAGACCTTACTCTCCTTGTGCTGTAGACTAATATTTAAGTTTGGCTGTAAGGATTTCTGTTTTATGAAGAAACTTTCATTGATGTTTTCTTTCTATTGCTTAAATTAAAACAAAATGCCCACTAGAGGGTACTCTCATCCCCTACTGCGCCTCTGTAGAACCATCTGCCACGCTGGGAAGCTGTTTTCATTTGTATGCAGATTATTATTTAAAGTCTGTTCTTGCCTAGAAAAGAAACAGACCAATCCATAATTCTCTGCAACTCCTGTTTTCCTGAAAGGAGGCAATGGGTATAGATCTTTTAGTACCCGGTATTATAATTAGACCCTTTATATTCTGGGTGCTTTTATTTTACTTAAGGCAATCATTGTCTACTGAAAACATGTTGAGAAATATGTCTAATGGGGAAAATGATAAGGATGGTACAGACTTAATTATCAAGCATCACGAAGTAATTAGGCTAATTACTGAATAGTTCACTGTCTCCTGCCTGTTAGGTTATTAAGCCTTTTAGCAGTTTTATGTAATATTTCATTGGATGATTCTAATGCAGAAAATAACAGATTTTCAAAGAGTATGATATGAAGAAAGTAAAGATTTAATCCTCTTTCCTTGTGTTTCAGATCAAATGGGGAGCCTGTGGCCTTGTGCTGGCAGGCAATGCAGTCATTTTCCTGACAATTCAAGGTTTTTTCCTTGTGTTTGGAAGAGGAGATGATTTTAGCTGGGAGCAGTGGTAGCACTTTATTCTGATAAATTGCATTTTATTTCTTAGAAGTCATGCTATGTGTATTTGTGTGCACATGTGGCCTTTTACTATGAAATTTCCTATGCTATTTTTTTATACCTTTATATCATGTTCACTGTAAGAAGGACTACAGGAGAGAAAGCTCAGTTTTGTTTCCAGCTAATAGACCTCTCCATGTACTCAAGTTGAATTCTTTTATTTGTTTGGCTCTTCATATAGTCATGGTGCTCTCAGAAGATATATTAACACAGTCTTGTACACAGCCGTTCACTTGTGTGATGCATTTACATATTTTGCCTGGGGATGAGTGTGGGTAAGCAGACAGCACTGGAGCAAGTCTGTTCTACTCAGGACTTCCAAGATATACTTGTGGCCCAGAGAGACAGAGCGGCTCCCTCTTTGTGTTGTAGACCCTTGCCTCTCGAAGTGTGGTCCATAGAGCACCTGGCATCTCTTAGGAGCCAGTTCATACAGAATCAGAGGTTCCCCCCCCCACCCCCCACCACAGATCCAGTGCATTTTAGATGAGCTCCCAGGTGAATTACATGCACATTAAAGTTTGACAAGTGCTGTCATAGGGGAATAAGTATCACCTCTAGTGTCCTTGTCTTCCCTTTGGCCGAACCTCTTAACCTCTCTGGGTATTATCTGCTCGTTTGTAAAAATTGTTTCACCTGCCTTCATGTTGAGGCCTACTTCAGAGTCTCTCTGGTATTTGTGAAATGTCCAAACCTGTATTGTTCCTCACATTTGTGGAATTGTTCTCAGTATGGAACAGTTATGTCTTCACTGTCTGAAAGGCAATAGCTCTTTTCACAGAGCTGGGGAAACAGAATAACTGCAAAGTAACAGAGTAACTGGGCTGTACCGAAGGAGGCCAGGCTGGAACCAGTCCCTGCTTTAGCAGGGGGGCAAGAGCAGATAGGTAATACTTTCTAACTTCCCTTTATAATCACACACTTCTCCCCAGCTCCTTCTCTGTACTGCGTTCCACCTCCACCCCCCCTCCAAACCAACACACTCCCAGCAGTTCTGATTTGCCTTTACTTCCTCACGGCTCTGACTTTTCCTTCCTACAGGAACAGGAGCCAAGTAAGCAAACAGAGGGTGCCCAAAGACGCTACTTACTGTCTTTCATGCCTTGTAGATCTTTTTATATATATGTATAAAACCCCTCTGCCACTTTTAAGTGAATCATTGTGAGTACATGCCACGCTAGATCCTGTAGTCAGTTTTTCTAGCTCAGCTTTTCGTCCAAGATCTATAAAGAAAAATATGGGAACTAGAACCACTTGATGAGAATACAATGATTTTAAAGGATTATTAATGTGTGATAACTGACACGCATTGAAAACACTAAAATTTTGAAGTTTGGAATCTGAGGAATTAGCATATCTTTTCGTATTCTGGAATGATCTGGGACTAGGAGAAGATAAAATTGAAACCTAAAAGGATAATGTGCAGTTATATTGTGGCCTTGTGCATAATTTTATGTTTTCTTTTTTTTTAATATATGAAATTTATTGTCAAATTGGTTTCCATACAAAACCCAGTCCTCATCCCAAAAGATGCCCTCTTCAATACCCATCACCTGATTTTATGTTTTCAAAGTTCTTTGTACATGTAGAATTGTTGACGTTATTTCCAATATTTATAATTAGAAAAATTATATAAACACTTTATAATTTTAGCCAGCGTTTTTAATAACACTTGCACTTACTTTATTGTAATAAATTTCTCTTTAACACAAAAGAAAGTTTAATTTCAAAAGTCTTTATTCTGATGTAGCCTTGCTTAAAAGATAAAAAAAAAATAAAGTAAGAATCTCTTGGTGTTCTGAAATGGGTAGTTTGAGCAATACAGGAATAGCACTACATTTTAAGATATCATTTTGAATGTCTAGTTGGCTTGTAATAGCATTTCTTTTCCTAAAACGGAAACAGTGTTTAATTTATACTCCCTTTGACAAAAGTATCTTTGTTGCTTATACATATTTCATATTTCAGATAACCAAGGTAGCCTTAATATGTAGCCTTAAATAAAGCATTGCCTCTTGATTGTACTTCCAGAATGATATAAAGTACACATAGAGAATATTGGTAGCCATTCCCTAATAATGGAATGGTTTATTGAAGTGATAGATTGTTGAATTTGCTCTGTGTCAGAAAACAAACATTTATTTTTAGTGCTTAAGTGTCATTATAGATGCCAGTGGGAAGTATTGCTATGAATGTACAATACAGAAGTTTCCTTTTGATGACACACATGTTGGGCATTTCTTTTTCCTTATAAAAAGTTCATTTTTTTTTTTTCCTGTATGCCATAGAAAATATTTTGGAGATTCAAAGCACATTGCTTACATTCTAAAACTAAGAATACACATAAAGAATTGCTGACAAGTAAGTAATCTTATGAGGAAGTTCTTTATCATGTTCCAAACAACTGGTTTACAGGCAGACTTTGAAACACTTTCGCACAGCAAGTGGGAGGCTGGTGATTGAGTGCCCAGGCCAAGCCTTCTGAGGGAGGCTTAACCCTGATGTAGTTGACTTACAATGCTCAAGGTACCTGCCTGAGTTTTGGGTCTTGGAAACAGGGTAGTGTGGACAGGGTGGAGAAAGGAAAGCGGAAGTTTCCACCTCTTTTCCTAAGAACAAAGGTCTTCAAGTTTTGCAGCACTTTCCATCCCCTAATGCCCTTGGGGTCCAAGTACATTCCCCTGAGTTTTGTTGGCCTCCTCTCCTGACAAGGGGCCTTCCTCCCAGCCTGCCCCACCTCCTGGGGCTCCTCATTTTCCCAGATCACCCATCTCTCTACTTCTACCCAGTCCATTTTCTTATTATAGCTGATACAGTGCAGTGTGAAGAAGAAAGCAGTCTGGTCTACCTCTTTCCCAGAAAGAAAGGAGGACTTGTGCTCATCTCCCCCTCATCTGGAGCCCTTACCAGTGCCCCCAATGTGTGGTGACCACGCCTGTGGCGGCTGCAGTTCTGCAGGGGAATGCCTTGGAACCCAACGGCTCATTCGCAGAAAATGGTAGTGTTTCCAAGTACAGTGAAAAAGTATCCCAGCAGTTTATAGAAGGGTAATATATGGGTTAGGGGCAAACCTCTCATTCCTCATCCCTTCCTCTGGGTGGGTTCTCAGCTGGTCGTACTTTTCATGGTTGTTCCTGTTCCTCCACTTGTGGACTCACAGATTTTTCTTACAGTCCTCAAGAAATCTTTACCTCTGAGGTATTCCCTTCATGAAGACTCTTCTAGAGGCCACAATGTTTCATTAAGTTAATACCATTCCTTATACTCTCAGGGAAGTGCTTAGGAGATGTCACAAAAATATGACAAGTTTGCGGGGCGCCTGGGTGGCGCAGTCGGTTAAGCGTCCGACTTCAGCCAGGTCACGATCTCGCGGTCCGTGAGTTCGAGCCCCGCGTCGGGCTCTGGGCTGATGGCTCAGAGCCTGGAGCCTGTTTCCGATTCTGTGTCTCCCTCTCTCTCTGCCCCTCGCCCGTTCATGCTCTGTCTCTCTCTGTCCCAAAAATAAATAAACGTTGAAAAAAAAAATTAAAAAAAAAAAAATATGACAAGTTTGCAAAAAATCCAGATTTTGCACCATAATTTGACCAAATTTTATATGGATGCTAGCATTTTCCAAGCATAGTAATTAGTTCACAACTAGAAATTGTTATTTCTGTAAATGGATGTAACTTGTGTGTTTTAATTTTTTCCCCCATTCTGCCTCATGAAATACCTTATTTGCAAAAATCCCAGTGCATAATAGCTCATTATGCTCTTAGAATCACAAGGTGCTTTGTAGTGGCCATGCTACCAGAATAGAGCAGTGATACGTGTAACCCCAAACATGATGTGAACGATCTCCAGGACTGCTTTAGGTTGCATTATATATGTATGATGAGGACGATTATTTTTTAAATAAAACTTGTTATTTATACTTTCACAAAGACTTATGTACGTTATTAAATTAAAATGTTTAATTTTTAGCAGACTGATTTCCCCAGTGTTTTTGTTTCGATAATCTTAACGTGCGTGTGACTAGTGTTGAGCCTGTACTTACTGCGGTTGAAGGAAGCCGTCCAGGCATATGCACAAACTGGAAAGAACCCAGGCCCTAATTACACCTGTGTTGTGGCTCACAATCCTGTGGGGAGACGTGGCTGTCGGGGCGTGCTTAATAATTCGCTGTATTGGAAAAGAGAGAGCACTTGATACTTTAAAAACACGCTGTACATACCCTGAAGAGTCTTTTTTTGTGCACTACAGAAAAAGAATGAACTGATGTAAAATACTACTTAAGGAGTAATGTATCCTTTTGCACCGAACGTTTGGGGAAGAGCTGGTGTCTTTCTCACCGGGTGGGGGGGTGGGGGTTAGGCAGCTAGGTGACAAACGGAGCTGGTTATTTCTTTGTTTTGCCCAACTAAGTGTAAAGCTAAAGTTTTAGTAGAAATTTAATAATACCAACATACCTATAAAATGCCGATAAAAAGAAAAACAGTTCCCAATGAAACTTCTCTGGTCCAAGGGTTTGTACATACGCATTTTCATTTAGAAAGCACACTGGATGCATGGAGATTCCTCTGGGGCTGGGAATGGGTGCCTGGAGAAATCACGCACCTGGTATTTATCAGCATCTCCTGTTTTGAGATTAAAAAAAAAACCAACAACAAAAAACAGCACACTTTCCTATTTGTTTTTTGTTAGCTAAATGTGAATAAAAAGGTCTTGTCCGGTAATTGTAATTGGAAAGTTATCTTCTCCTTTGTACTTCCTAAAATGGCTCTTAAAAATTTCCACTGAAGTTATCAGTTTTTGCAAAAAGAAGTAGAAAACAAATGTCTGTTTAAAAAAAAAAAGAACTAAAGTGGGTGAAGAATTTAAATTTCAAGACTTAACCCACATTTTTTAAAACGTGTAAATTTGTAGAGAATGAATTCCAATTCCTTTTAATTTCTCTGTAGTCATCAGGCATAGTGCAAAATTAATAGATGATCATTTTGAAATAATTATCCCTGTTCAATATTGTCCATGTAGGCAAAGTGGTCCTAATCTTGAGGATGCACAGTATCTTTATTGTAGGTGATCTCTTTATCAAAATTTGGGTAATTATAGATGTGTCACACACTCAAATTAATTATTAGATATTATTATATCAAAAGTTGTGCCTTCATTTTTTTTTTTCAATCCTCGGAATAGCTTGAAACCATCAACTCAACCTGAGCTGGATAACTATTTTACTTAATAATTTAAAGCATAAATGCATCTATGTTTCTGCTTCAGTAGTATGCCCTCGCAGTTAAGAAACACATTTTATCACCATATTCTCTATCAACATTTATCTCCTATTTTTTCTATAGCTTAACAGTAAGGGGACATTGAAGGTTCTGGGGCAAATACACAGGCTCTTTGAAGGTGGGGCCCTAAGACACATCAGAGATATATGCAGGATGTCACATAAAACATATTTTTGAGGGCTAATTAGTGGCATGGGAAGCAACAGGATTAACACACTTCCCACAAATTTAATTTGGAAGTTTAATTTATATATGTATAAAATACATTAAGGAGTAAACTTCATTTATGCAACAAAAACCCATCCTCTGTATCTGTACTCACTGACTTGGTGAGCTCATGCTGTCTCGTGGTTTTAAATACCTTTTGTAGGCAACTGGCACACATTTTAATCTCCAGCCCAGACTTCTCTAAACCCCAGAGTTGTATAACCAACTGCCAACACAGTCTCTCCACTCGGATGCCTAGCAGGCATCTCAAACCCAGCATGTCCAAAATCAAACTATAGACACCCTGGTTCAGTGTCTCAGAACAAAAGGCTTGGAAGCGTTTCAGAACATATTGCACATCCCACATGCAGTCCATCAGGAAATCTTGTCACTTCTAGCTTCAGAATGTGTTCAGAATCAAAGCATTTCTTATACCATCACTGCTAGCACTGTGGTTCAAGGACACTATCATATCTTGCCTGGCTTATTGCACTAGTCTCCCGACTGCTGGGTCCCCTGCTTTTGCCTGATTTCTCCTTCAGACTAGTCTCAACACCACAGTCAGAGTGAGCCTGTAAAATGTAAAGCAGATGTCACTCCTCTCCCCCAGTGTCCTCCCATCTCACTTTAATAACAAAAAGACACATAATCCAGTTAAAACAAATGAACAAAGGATCTGAATAGGCATTTCTCCAAAGATAGGCAAGTGACGAATAGATACATGAAAAAAAAATACTCAACATCATGAGTCATCAGGGAGATGCAAATCAAAACCACTTCACACTTCCCTAGGATGGCTAAAATAAAAAAGACAATAACAAGTATTGGCGAAGATACAGAAAAATTGGAGCCCTCATAAATTGCTGGTGAGAATGCAAAATTGTGTAACTACTGTAGAAGATTTTGGCAGTTCTTTAAAATGTTAAATATTGAGTTACAATATGACCCAGAAATTCCATTTTCCTGGGTATATTGCCAAGAGAGATGAAAACGTACATCATACAAAAGACTGTACACAAATGTTCATAGCAGCATTATTGGTAAGAGTCAAAAAGTGGAAACAATCCAGATGTTCCTCAACTGATGAGTGGATAAAGTGGTATATCCATACAGTGGAATATTTTCAGCCATAAAAAGAGATGAAATACCAATACATCCTACAACATGGATGAGCCTTGAAAACATTATGTTAAGTGGAAAAAGGCAGTTACAAAAGCCCACATATTGT